GGGCAGTACCTGTGGCTCAAAGAAGTAGGGCGCCGGCCCCATATGCCGGAGGTGGAGGGTTCAAACCTGGCCCTGGCCAAAAACTACAAAATAAATATAGAAAGAAAGAAAACACTATGAAAATTTTGAATTTTCTATATTCTAAGGACCAAAGAAATCTCCTCCAAAAAATTCTTATTCTCGAGTCCCATGATAATGAATAGAAAAAGGAGGAATAGTCTTTATTTTCCAAACATATATTCTCCTTTGACAACAGGGATTTCAGATGGGAGAATCTCAGCCAGAGTCTTCAGGGAACAAAGAAATAGCAAAGCCAAAGGCAAAATGGAAAGGAAGAAAATACCTCTTACACATAAGGATACTGAAAGGTCTTTATTGTCCACTAGCCACCAACTATTTCCCAGCCACATGCTGGGCCCTCTGGGTCTCTCCAACCCACTCTAAAGACCAGTGAAATGCAGCCACAGTTCAGCTCTCTCTTTCTGGGGGGACTAAGGTACTCCCTGGGGAATACAACATGGCAGCGGGGCCTCAGAGTGAGGGGCAGGAGGACCTAGCAGCATTACCTATGGAAGAGGACAGGAGAGAGGGCCCCTCTTGGTACCCATTATGAGTGGTTGCCGCCAAAGAGAAGGCAGGCAGGACACCCTAAGTTACTTAATGGATGACTCCAGTGGCAAAGAGCACGATGAAGAGGATGATGATAGAAACAATCACACAGATGAGGACGATCATCTTGACATTCTTCCACCACATCTTCCGAGCCACCTTCTGCGATGTCGTCTTGAAGTGCTCCGACTGTTGGGGATAAGACAGAATGACCCATTGGCTCCTCCCACTGAAACAAAAGGATGAACAGAGCCCCACATACCACACATATGCCATACATCTAAGTGTTTACATTAGAAGATGAGGTTGCCTCAGCGCCTGTGGCTCAAGTGGCTAAGACGCCAGCCACATACACCTAAGGTGGCGGGTTTGAATCCAGCCCAGGCCCGCCACCAAACAACAATGATGGCTGCAACCAAAAAATAGCCAGGTGTTGTGGCAGGCGCCTGTGGTCCCAGCTACTTGGGAGGCTGAGGCAGGAGACTCGCTTGAGCCCAGGAGTTGGAGGTTGCTGTGAGCTGTGATGCCACAGCACTCTACCCAGGGGAATAGCTTGAGGCTCTATCTCAAAAAAAAAAAAAAAAAATGAGGTCATAGGGAAGCCCCTGTGGCTCAAGGAGTGGGGCGCCAGCCCCATATAGTGGGGGTGGCGGGTTGGAAGCCAGCCCGGCCAAAATTGCAACAAAAAAATAGCTGGGCATTGTGGTGGGCACCTATTGTCGCAGCTACTTGGGAGGCTGAGGCAAGAGAATCACCTAAACCCAAGAGCTGGAGGTGGCTGTGAGCTGTGACACCACAGCCTTCTACCAAGGATGACAAAATAAGACTCTGTCTAAAAAAAAAAAAAAATGAGGTCACAAACTGTTAAATAAAAGATGCTCTATCCACCTACCTTGACAGATATACTTTCCCAACAATCTGGAGAGCCAGGTTCAAATTTAGAATTCTTAGGCTCCTGGGAGGTCTCTACCCGAATGTGACTAGGGGTCCCCTTTCTTTTCTTATCCCTGCACTGTCATGCACACTGAGGGGTCTTTTACACATGCTGTATCCTTTTTTTTTTTTTTTTCGAGACAGAGCCTCAAGCTGTCCCCCTGGGTCAAGTGCTATGGTATCACAGCTCACAGCAACCTCCAACTCCTAGCTCAAGTGAGTCTCCTGCCTTAGCCTCCCAAATAGCTGGGACCACAGGTGCCCACCACAATGCACAGCTATTTTTTTGGTTGCAGCCGTCATTGTTTTTTGGGGTTTTTTGCAGTTTTTGGCCGGGGCTGGATTTGAACCCACCACTTCTGACATATGGGGCCGGTGCCCTACTCCTTGAGCCACAGGCACCACCCAGCCGTCATTGTTGTTTGGCGGGCCCGGGCTAGATTCGTGGAACTCGCCACCTTAGGTGTATGTGGCTGGCGCCTTAGCCGCTTGAGCCACAGGCGCCAAGCCTCATGCTTGTATCCTAAATTGTGATATTAGCAGCACAATCTGCCCTTAGGAGGGCAGCCTGGGGCCAAGGAGTGCAGGCTCCATGGTGGGCATATCTCCTGATTCTAAGACTCCTTGCTAGAGGAAGGACTAGGATGGAAGTGAGGAAACTGTTCCTCCTCCCCCCAAAAACTGAAGTTGTAGACACCAAGTTTCCCTGGGTCACACTCCCCAGATTAAGCTGCAGAAAGAGGCACTAAGTCCTAGGGAGACAAAATAGTGATACCCATGGCTGGGCATAGTGGCTCACATCTATAATCCTTTTTTTTTATTTTTCCCGTTTTTTTTTTTTTTTTTTTGGTAGAAGCAGAGTTCTACCCTTTACCCTGAACAGAGTGTAATGGCATAGCTCACTGCAACCTCAGACTCGGGCTGTGGGCATCCTGCTGCCTCAGCCTCTGAAGCTGCTGGGATTACAGGCGCTTGCCGCAGCACCGGCTAGGTTTTTCAATTTTTTTCATGAGTCGGGGGTCTCACTCTCGCTCAGACAAGCCTCAAACTCCTGAGCTCAAGCAATCCTCCCACCTCAGCCTCCCACAGTGCTGGGATTACAGGTGTGAGCCAGCTCACGCCTGTAATCCTAGCACTCTGGGAGGCCAAAGTGGGTGGATTGCTTAAGCTCACAAATTTGAGACCAGCCTAAGCAAAAGTGAGACCCTCGTCTCTACCAAAAATAGAAAAACTGAGCAAGAGGATTGCTTGAGCCCAAGAGTTGGAGGTTGCTGTGAGCTATGATGCCATAGCTCTCTACCCAGGGTGACAGCTTGAGACTCTGTCTCAAAAAAACAGGCTCGGCGCCTATAGCTCAACCGGCTAAGGCACCGGCCACGTATACCTAAGGTGGCGGGTTCGAATCCCCAGCCCGGACCCGCCAAACAACAATGA